TATGAGAAAATTGCAACTATTTACTTATAACGTATAAATTTACGTAAAGTATGGTAAAGTTCACTTTTAATAACTTAACTTACACGACAATGTATTATAATATATTATTATGTTTACAGCCAGTTGGTATGGACCAACTTAGTTATGAACAAATTCGTTAATTACATTACATTAATTTTATTAATGTCAACATTTTAACTCTTCTTCTTCGCACTAAAAACTTTATAAAAAACTTAATTTATTTATCGGTAAAATAATTATAGATAATACTTCAAGTAAGCTTTTTACAACCCGGATAATTTCTTATAAGGTGAGTTTCAATATAGAATTCCTTCATGGTTATTAAAACGGATGAAAACGGAACCTACTTAAATCAAGTCTCTGTCAATTAATTCCAATTTTTACATTGTATGATGTTTTTTTTGAGATGTGCTGAAAAAATAACTATAAAATACGTAAGTGTACTACATTTTACTATCAATATTACTTTTAACCTGGATTTATAGGCAGTCTTGTTATTGTATTTCAATCTATTAACAACAGCATCTTTGCACTTATTCGTCAGCTTTGATTCGTGTTTTTCATAAACATACTAAAACCAAAACACAAACGGTAACTGAAAAATAGCATTAAGCTGAAATTAAAATTATAATTAAGTACTCGATTATTTATAAATAATGATACCGATAATTATGATATTTATTATACATTTTATTACAGCACACAGTTTTTAAATAAAACATAATTGTATACTGACGTTTTATAAAATAATTGCGTAATTGAATTACAAATTATATCTTTAAATTTGCATGTATAAAATTACAGTTATTTTACTAGAATATAAAAGAGCACTATAAAACTATAAAGAACTTCTGAGTGATATCATTTTCGTCTTAAGAATTTTTATACAGACTATTAAGATACTACATATTTAAAAACTTATGGTCCATAAGATTTTGAAGAGAAACTTATAAAACCTTTATATAAACATTGAAGAATGTTATGATTAGAAATTTCTGGAAGAGTAAACAGCTATTCAAACACATCTAGTGCACGGCCATTCTTAAATATTCCTAGTAAAATACATTCTAAAATACTTTCTTTACTGTCTGAGCTTATGATTCATATTTCATTTTGGTATAATGGCCAAAAAACCATTCGGCAAAAATCTATTTCAAATTTAATCATTACTTTTCTCTACATTCACATTTTTACAAAAATGTCAAGATGAATAAACATAATTTCTACAACTATGTAGAAAGTTACAGAAAAATATCCTGAAACCAACATTATGAGTGGCCTCTCAGGGAATATAATGTATAATTTTATCTATCGGGGCGTGTCAAAGTCACTGCGGATTGGAAAATCTTCTAACATGTGCCGAGTTCCTCAAAATATTTTCCACAACTGACCACGTGATCACTCGGCCTTCATAAACTAGATGTATAATAAGTAAACTATAAATCGAAAAAGCTCTATTCTATAGTAAAATAGGAACATAAATAAATATAAACATTGAAATATTTAGAGTTACAATAAAACATAAGATTCAAAATACTAAAGAAAGGTAGGTTAAATCATTGCGAGGAGAGCTCAGGGCGCATGCGCGCAGGTCACGCCTGCGCATCGCCACTTAACCTCAATCCGAGACGTGTTTTTGAATGAAACTTCATTCGCAGGCCGACTCACACGATCGCACTTTGCTTTCAAAACTCACAGACTTAAAGGATATTTCACCGAATCTCAACTAAGCTCATTGATTAAATACTTTACTTGCTTAGGACTAATTACTATGGAAGTCGCGTGGGACTGAGGAATTTTATTATTAGATCTCTAATTGTAAAAAAAATAATGATCTCTCTCATATCTACGTACCAAAATTAGTATGACATGCTTTATATTATTTATAATATGTAACTCAATACTCAATTGTAAGTTTGCCGTCTTATCTTTGTCTTTTAAAGCTTAAGAAAACATCAAAATTGTCGTAACGGTTTTGTACTTTAAAAATATGCTGAACTGTAATTTTTATTTCTATTTCAGTCTTGGATTTGCTTAAAGATCTTAAATTTTCCCATACTACTGCTATTTTAATTTTAACAATCGGCAAAAACACAAATCTATTGTACATAAAACAAACAATAATACGTTATTACAAACCCCTTAAGAATGGTTGATGTGTTATTGTGTTATTTATAAAACAACTTAAGTGAGAATGTTTAAATGGAGTCGAACGAACTGGTCGTGTACAGGGAACAATTAACGAGATAGCAAGCAGTTGAAAGCTTTCTAGTGTCTGTGCCTGCAGGTGATCAGCCTGAATAGGAAATGGCTACTGACACGCTACAATGACAATGTCAACGTTTGTAGATAGGAATGGGGATAAATAGCTAGTGACAGGAGAGAGGTAATTTGCACGTTTAAATCGATTGCCAGCTACAAATACATGACAGATTCTTATTCAACGTGCTGGTCAATTTAATAAAAAGACTAATAGGAACCAATACAGATGTGATAGGTAAAATAATGAGACATAACTTTGTAAAGAATACAAACAAGGGAATGAATAAAAATAATGTATTTTGTCACAATTAAATTGATGTTTGTTTAAAGATATATAGAATAGAATGTAGTACATTATAAAATGAGTTCTACGTTTTGCTTAATAATTTAAAACGCCTGCAACTTTAAAAAAGAAATACGTCTGAGAATATAATACATATTTAACTTTATTACAGGAACAGTTAAAAACACTGCGGGATAATTTTAATTTTACCGCTCATTTTTGTAATGTATTACTACCAAGATGTATTAAAAACAAATGAGGATTACCAACAGACTACATAATAAAGAAGTTTAAAGTTTAATACGACGCTCTTAAGGGGCCGTAATGGTTTTAGCGAAAATATGAAAAAAGGCCCAATATATTTTCTCTAACCTTCTTGGAAATGGAATAGCGAGGAGCTCGCGGACAAATGGTTTAGGCTCTACATTGATAAATTACCCTAACACTTTTCTTTTTACCCTACTGAGGGCAAACGGCAGTCATTTTGATAGCTTTTTGATTTTACACTATTATCCCAAATGAAAATATATAAATATAAGTTCAATGGACAATGACAACAGCGTACCCAAATTAACTGTTGATTCTTGAAGGTTTTCTCCGTCCTGTTCAAAGAGTTTTTTCTTTTAAGGTTCAATTAGTATACAAACCAGAGAGCACAAGACATCAAAAATATTGAAGAATCTTTAAATATAAATTTTAAAGAATATTTTAAAGACGAGGTGATAACTAACACTTGTTTTAACACGGGTATTACTTTTAATTTAAGTTTAATAATTAATATGTTTTAAATACAATTCAAGTGTAAATATTTACTACCTATTTCAACATTTAACGGTTTAAGTTGGACAAAATTTTTTAAATAGCTTTACTTAATACTATTTAATACTATACTTCTGATACAAAAGACTGACGTAATTCTAAGGTCTCTCTACCTTAAATATCAAAAGTATGATATAACATATAAACAACGCGACATTTCGAGACAAAACCATTCCTTGGTTCCATGCCAATTCTTTGTAGAAGATTAAAATGACATTCGAAGTGTCGGAGCTAACCTATCCATGGCAGACATTATTTCACGCTTCACATCAAAAAGGTTGTATCTAAAATATATATTTTGTAATTAAATGTATATTATGAGGAAGACTTAGAGCACTCCGAAGTTACGTTATAATGCGGCAAATGGATACTGGCAGTAAGGAGTATTTCGTAGTAGTGAACCATTCCCCGGGGTATCATGTGCCTCACGCACGTGCTTTTAATTAATTATAAACTTTTACAGACGCTTTATGGCAAAAATAGGGATTCGTATCTGTTTTACATCTTATATATCTTTTGACAGGCATTCTACGGCCATGGTTTATCAGAAATATTGAATCAAACAGAATGGGTGCGATGTTTAATATTCACTTTCAATATTTTTATTCATGTTTTTCGACAAAAAATATATTTTTTACTGGCAATACATAAGATAGAATGTACATGCTGATGAATAAGAATAACTCTGTGCTAAAATTTGTGTATTTTCAATGAGATATCGATGAAATACAATCGATATTGAAACTGATATAGACTTTCATTTGCGTTCTGTTTGTTCATTCTGATTGTAGCAAAAGTTTTCATCTGTCATTCGCAGAGATGTGTAATTTATTAAATTCCGTCAAACCCAACCCCTGATTCTTTACTATTACGTCTCCCTCTGGGACCTGACTTCATATTCATTACTTACAACCTATACGATACCCGACTTTTGTTATAAAACTCGCACTTTTACTGTGTTATAGTATTGGAGTATATTTTTGTGACTATTTGAAAGACTACGTCCTCTTTGAGTTATTTAATATTTTAATATGTTCCGGAAGAAAGGTTATGTGGAGTTAACTATATTAATGCTGTTGATTTTTGAATATTGTCTATTAATGTTCTCTACACAGTAGTCAGTTCTAGAACCAGTACCTCCTTGCTTCAAAACGTTTGATCGGTTATATAAGATAAGCATTTTAGCAGTGTACCGTTCCAAATACATAGAACACAGGTCGTGATTGGTCTGGGATTACGATGTCCATATAAAATTCGTAGTGAATGCAACTTTTAATAATGTTTTCAGTAAAATATGTACTGTTTGTTTAAATATTAAGGAAACCAAGTCAAAGTTAAGGTCAATATTTTTAAAATTTGGTCCACTATACCCATCACATTCATAAAATTGGTGAAAATTGTAGTTTTCTGGCACATACAGGTTCAATCAATATTGAAAGGTCCGTGTCATTAATATCTGAATGAGAAACCTATTGTTACCCAACAACATGATGAAGCTATCACCATAGGTTTGAAGTGCCTTCTAAGAGTAATGACATGATGTTGTTTACGATCAGCTATCAAACCCTGTGATGATGGTTCGGTACATGTGACAACGTTATGAGTACCTACTCACCTGGCACTCGTTACACGTATGTACGGAGTAGGACTGGTCGCAGTCGTATCTCTGGAGGATGGTGGCGAAGTCGCAGTGCACGCGCGCGACCATCGCGTCGAGGGCGAGGAGGTCGCGCAGCGTGCGCTGGCAACGCTCCCCGCCGGCGAGCACGTCGGCGCGCGCGCCGCGGTCCAGAGCTGAGGCGGGCGAGCGCTCGCAGCAGGAGCGCAGCCGCAGCTCCGCCAGGCGGCGGGCCCTCGCCCCAGCTCCAAGCGCGCACAGCGGCCGCACGTCGCGCCCCGCCAGCGTGTCGCCGCCGCCGCTACACGCCGCGTGCCCGTCGCCGCACTCGGCGCTCGCGGCCTCCTCCTCCAGGTCGCACGCGCTCAGCCAGGGGTTGAGGCGCGCGAGCGGACTCACGGCCAGGCCCGCGGCCGCCATCAGCAGCAGCAGCAGCAGCGGCGGCGCTCGCATGGCGGGGGCGGCGCCGCTAGCGGGGGCCGGCCCGCCGGGCGCGGCGCTGCCTCATACCGCATCGCGCATGGCGACCTACTCGCGCGGCCCGGGCCGCGGGGCCGCCGCGCGGGGTGGGCGCGCCGCCATGTCGCTCGCTCGCCGCTCGACTGACTCCCCCCGGGCGCGCATCGATCGCCCCGCGCCCCGGTCCCGCTGCGCGCGTCCCTACACCCTCCGTTCTTGTTATGTAACATGCGCGCGCAACCCTCACTCACTCACACTTTTCCTCTGAAATACTACCACTGGCCTCTGGTGGTGAGGTTTCGGACGTGTTCGAAACGACTATAGCCTTTCTCTTCAACAGCAGTAGCAATAATTTCCTCAAAGTAGTAACAGATGGCGTCCTAATAGGTAATATTTATTTGTCTCGTCTGTATTTAAAATACATCACTTATGAAAAGACCCATACCCTATATTGCACAACGGATATAGTCAATAATAATGCGACTAACTGTTCCTAGAAAAATTTTACCCAAAAGCGATGTATGGAATATAATACATACATACTTTTATAAATATATATTTTTTATTTATTTCGTTCTTTTTTTCATGTAAAAAGATAAATTTCTATCAAACTATATTCATAGTTGTTTAGTTTACGTGTGGTCTATATAATTAAAGTCATTTATATTCTATCAACGTCCGTAACTGTCATTTTGTAGCAAAAGTTGTAATTGTTATGACATTTGGTCCACTCATGGGCATGCAAAATCGCAAACGATTGTCCCCGACATATTGGATCTAGTTGACACTAATACAACGAACAATAAAATTTGGCACGGTTTGGAAATTCACGATATACGATTGCGTATTGTTTATTAATTGTCAAAGTAAATGAGAGGTGTGCTAATAGAAGTTGAAAGATGAAATGATTGCGCGGGCGCATGTATTCCGTCTCTTTCACACTCACTATATGCTGGATAGTTCTGTTTCACACTCGCCGCGTTAACACAAACGCTACTTCAGTGCATTCACTCGTTGCTTAGCGTCATCATCATCGTAAACAAGTTAGCCACACAAGGAAAATATAACAGTTTTAAAAGTAAAGCAGTGAACAATCTCTAGGAATTGAAACGTAGAACAATAAAATTTCATCTATTATTGTGATAATACCTTTAAAAAGTTTTGCGTTAGTTGCGAAATATTAGTAAATCGGTTTAAAGGTTACATTTCAACATAATGGACGCTACAAGTAAGTCAAGTTTTCTATCAACATATTATACTTATATAGATCCATAAAAAAATAGGTTCACCAATTTACACAAATTTTTCATTAATAAATTGATAAATTTTATTTTGTGATATACCAAAAAGTGGGTCTTTTTTGAAAAAGAAAACGAAAGCCATCGCATGTTATTTGTAAATATTTTTTTGAATCTTAAGCCTTTTAATCATTTTTTAATATAATGATAACTTTAACATTTGATTATCAAATGACGTGTAAAATTTTAATAACGTTTTTTTCTTTAACGATTATAATAGGTTTTAATCTGCGTATTTTTTACAATAAACCTTTAAACAGATGGAAGAACCATGACTCCAATATATACGGAGCAAAGGTTACTCGTATGACTAATATATACATAATCATAAACTGGTAATATCGTTGGATATTGCCAAAATTTCGAACAGATTTCAAACGAATTTATATAAAACCTTGGCTCTGTTACGCTCTGAATATTCCGTAATACTTTTTCTTAATAATAATCCCGTAATTAACACAGTCTATTTTCCAATATCATTTCATACAAAGCTAATAATGTTCAACAGAGTTTGCAATAAAAATGTCTACATGTTGTAATTCCGTTATGACTTACAATCGGCGTTACGTTACTACTTTCACGTCAAACGGAAAATTTGAAATATGTTACCTTTACGCACTCGTTTTATATCAAATGTATATATATACAACTTCTAAATGCTTTATATTATATCAGTACATTTCATATATATATTTAAACATACACATTCGTGTCATAACCTTCTCTAATCTCGTTGAATTTAAATTTAACGTTTGTCATATTCCGCATTTAGATAATTTTTTATATTCATATTGGAGAAACCAAATGACAAAAAGTTCCATGAGTCACAATTAAAATTTTAAGTCGTTATTATTAATTTATTTAAGTTGCTCTTTAAAATTCTAACACAAAACAATGTATTTAACATGAAATACACAGATTCCGTTTGAAGTAGCATACAATGAATAATTTTTAAATAAATAAACCTCTTTAATAATTAAATCATAACCTAAATTGTCATAACATTTATTAATATTAAAATAATTGGGTAATATGTAAAGATATAATAAGAACTATGTCAATTACAAAACAGCTTTATCAAAGGCGATAACATTTTTATACCGACCAAGATACAAACACAAACTTAAACAATCACGTCAGTATATCAAAAAAGATAAGATTAAAAATACGTTTTTGTTATTTTAGATGAAAATTCAATTAAAATATTAACATACAATGCCCTTACTAATGTTTGTCATCGTAAAAGTTGACTTAGATAATGATCAAAGTCATTATAACAAAAATAATCACTTCCTTTGATAATTTTAATCGCTTCATTTGTTTTATCTTTGTTCTTCAAACATCTTATAACTTCAACGTTACTTTGTTTTTAGTATCATCATCAGTATGCTTATCGCGAGTTTGCATCACATAACATACAAAAAAAATTCTCGTATCTCATTCAATGAGTTACATTAATATATAATGTACGAAGATTTATCAATAAAAAAACTGCTAAGGCATTGTATATAGTGGGACATTTACTTTACGTAAACTATTATGTGCACTAAACATACAAAGTACCAATGATTTTTATTTATTAATCTTAATATAGGCAATATCAATAAAATCACAAATGAAAGCTTAGTTTGTCTTGAAATTGATAAGATTGGATTTAATTCCTAACAAATTTCAATTCAGTTTTGTATCTCGCTAGTTAACACGCATAGTTGAAGATCTTGTGCAACAATTTTAATTACCTTTACGTCAGTCACTGTTGTTATATACAGCGGCTGTTCGTGTAACAAGTTTTAAAACCAATTAAGTAAATACAAACACTAATTGTTGTTTAATGCAATCAAAGATTTTTTAAATGAACTAGTGTCTAACATTTGTGTACTTTCGTAATATCACGTATAATTCTATCAAACATTTACTATATATTATTTACTAAATGAAATTTCAGTGGAGAATAAAATGGGACTTCCCCCGCCGTACGAGCAGATCCCGCCAAACCCGGCCCCACCGCCGTCTTACTTCGCCACAGCTCCGCAACCACCTGAAGTGCAACCAAGGACGGTAGTGGTGACTTCAACACCCACAGTAACAACACGAACCACCACAATCAAGCTAGGCCCGGGACCAACGGGGACCTCATGCCCTAATTGCAACAAGCCTATCGTGACTACAGTTGAATACGTCTCTAACAACAGAACTCACATAGTATCAGCTGGACTATGTATTCTTGCCGGGTAAGATAACTTTGAGATGATTAATAAGTAATAACATTTTACTGCCATATACGCTGAATGATCTCATTGATTTCATTATAATCTATCCATATTATAATTTATTACGCAATAATTGTAATTATTCCTATATATTTTTTCTTTTGTTTTATTTAATTTCCAAAGTGCTATCACGGAATGATACAATTAAATCATCGGTTTATTATATTCCTAGTTCATAAATCATCATATATCCGACTAACCAAGTGTATATTATGTCTTAATGTAATAAATTTTATTTAATTACTGGTATTTTACATATGGAATATAAAACAATACATCAATTCATTCTTAGAACGAACTTCGATGGCAGCCCTAGTAGGTTCTTTTCAAATTTGGTTAGGTAGGGAGGCGAGCTTGGACAGTGGAGGTGAGCGTTAATGCGTTAGATAGGGGCCCCTTAAACCTACACCTGGTTCGTAAGTCCCAGGCACTGTTGAAGCTCCTCTCTCTGTAACGCAATGGACCCGGCACCCGCACGGTGAATCCATTGATAAGAGGTTGTCTCAGTAATGAGATATCGTTAAAGTGTCTTAAAAACCATAAAAAGAAAATTAAATTATTCGCATTTGTTTTAATATACATATATATTTTGTACATATAACTTATATACATGTTTATATTTTCATTTCAGTTGTTGCTGCGGTTGTCTCGTGCCCTATTGCATGAGATCATGCAAGACAGCCAACCATTACTGTCCCCAGTGTAAAGCTTTCATAGGCTCTCACGTTCCGTCCTAACTTATAAAAAAACATTAGTTTAAAATGTATGAATAACATGAGAGGTTTTATATAAAGAGGTTTTATATAAACATTACAAGCTGAATGGATTAAATGATTTTTTTTTTAACATTAAATCGAGGTGACAGATAAAAATAAAATTATAATAAATTTCTATAGATAATAAAACAAAAGTACATAGAATATATATTCGTTGTAAACAATTTTTTAGTATAATAAGTGTATCCTAATTTGTTATATCATTTTATAAATTAAAAATGTAACTGTGATATACTTTTTTATAATTTTATAAATTGTAATTCGAAAACGTTTTTTTTTTGAATTAACTGTCTGTAATAATTATATATACTGTTATTTATTATAATTACATATATGTACATATTTTATTTCAACATTTCATAAAAGATTGGAAATAAAGATTTTTTTTATTACTCGCTTAATTTAATTTACTATACATTTTTATTATAGCGCGATTTATTTAAATATTTGGTTTATAGCTGAAGATATAAGCACTTTAAATTTGTAAATGTTATATAATTTTAAAATAACTTCTTAAACATTAAAATAATTTGTTTCTTGAATATATTCCTAAGAATCTTCTACAATTAGGACAGTAGTGCTCCACATTTTTCCACCTCTTAGTGACGTATGGTATAATGCAACAACATAACCACCTGAAATAAAAAATAAACCTCTGAAAACTTTCAGTGTTGTCATTATAATAAACAATTTTTTGAATACTATAAGAATTGTTAGTTGATACCAAATATTTCGGCTTATACAACTCGTATTTTATTATTGTACTCCCGTCGTTTTGGTTGCTTTTTAGAAATCGTGATCACGAGCAAACGAAATAGAAGATGTTGGTGAAAATAAACGTGATATAATCCAAAATATATAAGTTGATTTATATAAATACTCATGAATCTTGGATTGTTAATTTCTTAAAAACAACTGTCAAAGCAAAATAAAAGAAAACGTGGTTTTATTTGGCCTAAACAAACGTTGATATCTTAACTATGGTAGATTAAATTGTGTTTACATTTTTAACGAGTGGTTTTTGTAATTGCCTTAGAAAGATATCATAATGTTCTTAGTTTCAAATTTCGACATTTAATTCAAGAAAATATCTCAAATTACATTGTAGAATAATGATATAAGATATTACTCATTTCAATGCGGAGCACTTAAATCTCTTAGGATCTCAATACTGGATTACTGAATTAAAATCAAAAACTTTGCCATAACATGGGGTGTAAACTGTGTAGTATTTTTCATTGATGTTGCAAAGAAAAAAAAAAATTAAACAAAACATTTCCTCCGAAATCTGTCTAACTGTTTTGTAGAACTAAATGGCATTAAAAAGACAGAATTATCACTTCCATCTTTAGAGAACTTTTACAGATAATATAACTGTTCGGTACTATTCAATTGAGTTGTTCAAATGATAAATCGTTAATATTCGGCGACATTTTATTTGGTATCGCACAGATTAAGTTACAATACGAAATATTTGAACAGATAGCGAAGAAGATTAAAAGTAAAATGTTACATAATTTAATTGTGATTATTTAATATTGGTGTTAGTACTCTCTAATGTTAAGTACTTATAAATAGATTTTTTTTTTACTAAATGAGTTAATTTCTAAGGATGAATGTTTGCAACTTTGAGGATTATAGTGTTTTTTTAATACAGGTCGAATCGATATATAGTCAAAGAAATATTCAGTGTTAAAATCACGAAAATGGCTAGTATTGAAAAAATGTTGGCTCTAGGGAAAAGTATTAAAGTTTTATAGGAATTTAAAGTTGATCTATAATAAAATTTGCAGTAACTATCACTATAAATTGGAAGTATATATTATGTTAGTCATATTATACTAAAGTTAAATGCTTTCCCTTTTTTTGCTTTTGAAACACTTTATTGTAAACTTTTACTCAACTACAAAAGGTGACGTCAAACTAACAATATTTTTCTGTATCAACCTACACGAAAAAACATACCCACATCAAAAAGTTTTAAATTAAAAATGGCGGTTGGTTTACGTGAAGTTCAAGAAACTTTCTGTAAAAGATTATCATAAAATTATATTTATCTTTCTTTGTTTCGAAGTAAATTGAAAAGATAAAACGAAAGAATTAAAAGAAAACAACTGTAAGTGAAAACTGAAAACTATATGTTGCTTTAAACTGTTGGAACGTGTTTTGCTGAATCTATCGCAACTGTTTTTCTTAATTATGTTCTTAATTAAATATAAAATTAAAAAGTAATTTCCTTTCTGCACAAGACTTATTCCTTTATTTTTAAGATACTTAATTATATAGAGTTAAAATATATAGAAAAAAACCATTGATCAATCTACGAGTACGTTTTTACATTTACAGTATTCAAAATCTCCTTTATTAAGACTCATTATCATACGAAAAATATACCTGCCATTTATGTTCCTGCATTTCTGTTATTTCAACCGACATTAATTGGAACGTAGAACGCGTCATTTGGAATGCTTATGATTCTAATGGTAAAAATTTCAAGATGAAAAGGATTTTATAGATTTACTAGTAAGATATACACACATTGTTTTATCAAGGACTTGAGCACATAATGACTATGCCTAGCGAGAAGTCATTACGTTGCATTGTAAACGATAATACGCGCTAATTCAATTTACGAATGCACTATATTTACTATTCTTGTTCTGACATTGCTGTCTATATGTAATTATTAAATGCGAATAATAAAATAAAATTACTTAGTTTTGTACAAAAAATATTTTGCATTCCCTGTACTTATACAGGGTGACTGGTGAATTACTATCGATACTTGAGGACGTGATATTTGACGATCATATATGACAAAATAAAAATGAATATAACATAAATATTAATAAACTTCTAAGTAAAGTTAACCAAAACTTATGTAATTAATTACGCATCGTGTGAACACCCTACAAATTAGATATACACACACACACACACTCGCGCGCGTGCGGCGGCGTGGTGTTGTATCAGCACGCCGCCGCACGCGTCCACACTTGGAACGTGTCCACACTTTATTTATTTATACGGAAATTTGGTCAAAAATTAAGTACCTATTTTTTTTACATAATTCGAATGAGAATCATGTACCGTGTACTCTCCTCAAATATTGATAGTAATTCACCAGTCACCCTGTATAAAAATACTGACAACATAAAAAAAATATGGTTTTTTTTTTTGGAAAGACTAAGCAATATGAGTAACTCCCTGCCACATTTCACACCTTCATATAATTTTTTTATTATGAGAAATAAATTATAATATTTATTTGAGACTTGTATGCCAACAAACTGTCACTATAGCTGTTTTACATTCGCATACTACATAGATACAGAGCGTTTTCAGTTTTCTACATATTATACAATAGTGTGAGCAGAATCGTGGTAAGACTGCGAAAGTTAACAAAATTTTCGAACAAAAGACATATGTTTCATTTACAGTTTATAATGGGCTTTCCCCTTTGTTTGATATAATTTAGGAAGACTTACCAGAAAAGTATACCAAGTACCAAGGCGATAATGTGCGTCAGAGATGTGTTGATGTAATGGGCTTTGGTCATAACGTCCTCCTGGCAATATGGACATCTCATACCAACCGGCTCCGAGCCCACTTGCAGTAAATCCATCTCAATGGACACTTCATTGTTCTGTGTAATCTGCTGATATGAATTCGCCTCCACTAAAATTTGTAAACGTTACTAGAATTTTGGGGCATAAAGTACTGCTGACCTTTAATAACGGAAAAGGTACTTGTTTTCATTCGTTATTTACACCATCGTTGATTTCCTTGAGACATAAGTATTATTAGTTAGTCAGGAAGTGATTCGATATTTTTTTGTAGTTATGAATGTTTTCTTTTCCGTTGTTTGTATTTTTTAATTTAATACAGTGTGCCATATTAATCATACCGCAATTACCATACTTTCAGAACGTATACAACTCTTCGTCTTAGTTTGCTTTATTAATATACTATTATTATTGTTAACATGAATTATTTATTATTTTTTAAATGTTCTTTATACTCTCTTTCTTCTCTTTATATCACGAACTGCTTAAACTGATTGAAAAATTCTCTCTGACAATACTATGACGAAAAATTTCGCGAAAACGAAGGAAAATATTCCTTTTGTGAACTTCCGCCTCGTACACTGTTTAATCTAAAATATCTTATTAATAATAGTGTGATGTACGTCTGATAATGTACATAGATTATATTAATAAATACAACATCTATTTCTTCTAATCTATATCTAAAATTAGATAATCATTATTACTTGAGAATGTACTGTGTAAGGGGCACGGTTTAATCGGATGTGTCTACATAATTATTTCTAGTACTTTAACAATTTTTTATCGATTACCTGAACAAGTCTTACATGAAGTTAATTCTAATAAAAATATATTCTCTATATATATATTGGACAAAAAAAATTTTATACAGGAAATACCTACACATAAAACTGCAATTAATTTTTCTATGAGTGTATTTTTATGACTAGAGTAATAGATAACAAATACTGACTATTTTATAGTTTGATATGAAGCATAGTTTAAGTGGACAATACTTAAAGCATATTATTAAGGAAATCGACTTACTTGTTATATCCAAATAATTTTATAACCACGATATCACATAGATCAAAACATTTTCTTATCCTATTTATATTATATACATAATATATTTGAAATTATTTTAATATATTTGTCTCTTCACTGCATGACATACTATTTGTCAATAACACGATAAGCCCCAACAAACCGATAGTTACATTATCGTGTTATACATAGATAACACAGACTTATAAGTGTGGATCAAGTGTGGTTTATAGTAACGTAATTCGCGAATATTTTTATGAATAAAACAGGATATAACACTCATTATTATTAGATATTCACATACATTACAAACATTTTAAAAAGTTTTGTACTATCATTCAAATATTGTCATAAAACGATCGCAATTTTTTCATTCGTTTAACGAAGTAAAAGTTTCTAACACTGTCAAAACAACTATCAGTGTCTACATTTACTACAAGTCTGCATACTCATATTACATACTGATTAGTAGTATTTGCAGTTTTTCATTTATAAAACTATACCATTATATGCGTAGTTTCACAAATATACAACTGGAAACGCTCCGCATGTAGTGTGATTATGCTTAAACTTGGGGTAAGCGAAAATATGGCGAAGCATTTTTTTTACAATACAGACGGAACATCGTGAGATATAAAATACAAAAATAAGCGTAGAATTAAGAAACGAACTCCCTAAATCTACTTAATTCCAATAGTTCGATTGTTTCCAAATGTAATTACAATATTAACTCCTTCATACTTACCTTACAAAAAATGTTGTTAAATATATTTTGTTGTAAATTGTAATAAGTGATCCAGGACAGTTTTGTAACTAAAGCATCATTATTTTTCTTATTTAATGGATTTACATAAAACTATAGCATAATGTAATTATAAAATATATTGCAGTTGTTTTAATGGATTACACAGAAAACAACAGAAAAACTATTTTTTATGTATATCTTCTCACTAAGAACTAACAAGGTAAAGAACAAGAACAATATTAAATTGACAATTCTATATATATTTTTTTAATTCTAACTACTCACTAGTATAGTCGTAACAAGTATATAGTAAAGTACTAGTATAGTGGTTCGTACACCATATATTCAAGTAAACATTTCTCAACCTGACTATAAAACAACTAAATTGAAAATGCTATCATACGCGAACTAACATAATATATTCACTCATACATTAGTCAATATTAACATTCACAGAAATATAATATTGAATTTATTTCATGATTCACTAAAAGTGTCGTCTATCGCAAATTAATAGAACTATTATTATCAAACTACTGGGCACTGGCGCTTTTAGACCATGTTACAGTAAGGAGTACCATTATACTGTACATATAGTTCACATCATAACTCGTGTCGTATGCTGAATTTATTTAAATGGTGTGAAAGAACCTGTATATAGATCAAGGTTTTAGAGACACTTTTACTCGCAAGTCGCAACCCGATTTGCTCAAGAACTTTCAAGTTATATAGTTGCAGATTGTTAAAATACTATTTATTGTGCCCATTTTATCGCTCACATTTTTTCTCCATTTTGTTTTCCTCACTTTTCTGAAAGGAAGTATGTAATTAAAGATTTATGGAAACTTTTATCTGTCTATGAGCTATGTGCTGGCGAAGTGTGTTTCAAAAAATACTATCACTTGCTGCCATTAAACTACCCATAATTTCTGTGCACACCCCGAATGGTGAATGATGGATGCACATTCTAAAATTTAGACATTCGGGAGTATGCACAGTGCTAACTCGAAATATTTTATAATAAACAGAATTTAAACGTAGTGCTGCCTCGTGGTTTTATAAACATTTTTTCAAAACATTCATATTGAATATTCAAAAAGATATCAATAATTAATAATTTAGAATAAAAAAACGGAGTCCTAAATTTTTATATTGACTGAAATGAGTAATATACTGACGCGCGGTTACGGAAAAGGAGAAGAATATTTAAAATATCATATGGCCGCCCAGATAAAGCACAAGAAAATAGGACTTTTTATTTCATCAATTTTTCTTAAGAGTCAATCCACTTCATGTTTTTCTTTGCTTGATGTTGCACTTATATTTTTAAAAATACATATATTTTGACATGACATATCATGGTATTAAGGAAAAGTTATTTTTGAATGTTATCTTTTATGAATATGATTTAGACATGCCTCATTCTCTTTGAAATCCAATAAAACTACATTAGCTTAAGAGTAAATACGTAATTTCAAAATATATCAACACGCTCTACTGAACATTTATATTTTTTCTAAAGGGTTTCAAAACAAATTTAATATTATTAGGCTATATTATGGAATCAAATAAATTGTGATTTCACAATCACTGTGATAGGCTAAAAATTATTGACGACAAAGCTGACAACATTTGCTGTCAAAATCACCTCGACTCTCAATTCTCAAATCATACATGTCAATAAGTTAGATGGTTGTCTCATTGAAAACTATTAATGTTTTTGTTTTTGTGACATTACCTTAACAATTATAAATAATAGGTTTTAAAGCTATACATGTAACTCTTTTAATTTATATGTCATTAATAATCAGTGTTATTAATGGATGTCGAGCTACTGAGACCGGGCACTGTGCCTATATCGCCGGACACAGTGTTGTGGTTTGAATTTCTATTAGACCCTAATTTGCTTAAAAGCCATTTAAGTAAACCTAACCCAGGTTATAATTTCTACATATTGACCATATTGGAAGTTGCAAATAGGTTTTATTATTAACATTATTTATTTTTATTATAGAACCTTCAGCTTGCGAGTTAATAGAAGAATTTATAAATGTGGACACAAAACAGGCAACTTCTAAACCTACTAGTGAGAGGATAGTTGATGTAGATGCTCCTCCGAGTCCACCAACACCCACACCTGGGCCTCTTCAATTCACTAGGAAACAACTGGCATTAAAGATTTTAGCCTTAAAAGTAGCTGCTACATTGCACTGGAATTTAGGTAAGTAATTTGACAAATAAGAAAACTAAAAATAAAACATGTCAATGACAAAGTTAATTAATTACTATATGGGAAAGTTATCCTACTTCCTACTAATATTATAATTGCGAAAGTTTGTGTGTGTGTATGTTTGTTACTTCTTCACACTGAAATGATTTTGATAAAATTTTGTATACATGAAGCTGACGTCCAGGAATAACACATACATTACTTTACATCTGGGAAAATGTTCGACTTTTCTTCATATAAGCGAAAAACCATATTTACTTGCTCGAGAACTCAATTCCTAGCCAAAACAACATTACCGATATGTACCTTTCACCAGTCTATGTAGGCACGATTGACAGCCAATAATCATTGCTTTTGTTAAAAAAAAAGAGATGATAGACAATATCTACAGACAACAGTTTCTTTCTTTACAGACAGTAGTTAATTTGTTAAATACTGCCAAACTATTCATTTTAATATAATTCTTAATTTTTATAACATTGCTGTTGTTTTGTAGGTGTTGGGTATTGCCATTTGTGGGCTTTCTTTTATATATTACTTATTCCGAAATTAACATGGACGAAGTTGCGGGCAAAACCTAGTGATAAATAAATCTTTGGCACTTTCTTAATGATCATTAAAGATTTAACTTCTGAAACTTTCCAAAGATATTTTTATTATAATGGTAAAACAAACCAATGTTTTATTCAAATTATCATTGATTTAATAATATCAAGTTTTTTTTGAGTGGACATTTTATCAGTTGTTAAGAAGTAAATTCTTAATTATTTCAGATATATTTGAATCAAAGCTGCCACCACAAACTCAACAGCACCTGATGCAGGATCTAGTGTATATAGCTACAGATACCAACTTTGCCATTCCCCCTCAGGTATTGCAACTGAATAATTAAAAAATGCTATAATGGGATCTAAGACTTTTGCGAGTATTCATTTAAATAAAACTAATATTTTTGCATTACCACAAATAGTATAGTGAGACATTCACATCTCGTCTGCCTATGATCATGGTTGCTGCAAAGTAACCAAAACATTAGAAGTATGTAATTTTTTAAAATAATAAACTATGCATAGTAATCCAAAAATATTAATTTCATTTATATAAAAATGCCATTTCAATACAATGACAAAATTTTGGCATTAAAGTATAAAATTTTATTTAAATAAGAAAAAATTACTGTAAATAATGAAATATTAGTCTCTCTAACATTTAACATATTCTAGTATATCTTATACAGGATGTACCAGTGGAAATGTTTCACAAACCGCAAGCCCAGTTTGCACTCACACTATATCACAGATGGGTATTGAGGTTTCCTGTTAAAGCTGCATTGTATTCAAAATCCAATAAATTACCATTTGTGCATGTGTAAGTACATAATGATTTATTATACACATAATAAAAGTATGAAAGTCTATTCATTTAGTATGAATATTAGAACTCATGCAATACTTAAATTGTACATAATCTTCCTCAACTATACATACATATTAAATAGATATTTCTTTATAAGTTTTAGGGGAATAGTTATAAAATATACAAAACAACATACACAAAATTGATACTTAATCAAGATCTTATTACTCTTTGCTTATATTTTATTTTCTTTCAGACCAGGTTTACAAGGAGATACTGCTTTTAGTCCTTTAAATCAAAACTTTGAAAAGATCTTACGTATGTGTGAAGCATCACGAATACAAAGTATCAGATATTTAGACAGTGTACTATCATACTATGAGACTACGCTTGGTAGAAAAGATGCTAGGAAGATAAAAATTCCTGTAATGGAAGCATTTGTTCACCTCACAGAGGATAGTAATGATATGAATCACAATTGGAATGCTGGTGATACTGTTATAAGCCAATATGAATTAGCAATGCAAATACATTTTGATCTTTGCTACAATTACTTTTTTTATGGCCAACACGATCTAGCGAAACAGCACATTTTAGGTTGCAGAGAAAACTCTAACTTACTTGAGAAAGAGGTAGCAAGTTATGGCTATGGGCCACGTAAGACGGTACCATGGGGTGAATTTTATTACGCTAGTACGACCAAGGACGACATTTTGGGTTATATAAGAGCTTTGAACTTAGGTTATGAGGTATTGAACGAAGAGCCTTCATTACTGCAAAAACTCCAGGAATCTATAGCAAACCATTACACTGGCATCATAGGTATATTGCAAGCAGACAACCTAGCAAGAGTTATTCCAATGGTTCATAGAGATGTGGTCGAGCTCGATATTCAAGGTTCGGCTTCCAGTGGAGCGTTTACTGTGGCCAGGGATCTTTTGAATCGTGTTGCCGCTTTGAATGCTGTAAGGTACTCTCTAGAAGGTGGTATACCGTCTACGCATCCAGATTTTTTAAACAAACTTAAGGCGTCTGGTATTAAATTCTTTGATCTGCTATTATGGGCTATGGGTCCGGTACTAATGTCTAACTTATCAGAGAAGGATTGGGAGAATCTGCGAATATTTTTCCTTCATCTCGCTACATCGCAATACAAGTTACCAATCGATAGGTTAGACGAATATCTGAAGAAATACGTCGGGGAAGCCAGCGAGTCTATCAGGAGAAAACTCATAACAGACGAACATCTCAAAGAAATATTGAACGACCCAAATAATATTGACGATGAGAACATTGATATTCCAAAAGAACTGTTGACAGATGACTGGGAAACACCAGACTTTGACTTTAAATCTGTACCTGAACTGGAAATGGGCAGATTGAAGAAACGTCTTATAGAGGCGTCTACCGCTGACGATGTACGGATGTGTCTTGTTAAACTGGCGATGATGTCTCCTACTTCACCGTTATGGAAGCTGAGCCCATCTTGGAAACCTCCCTCGAGCTTGGTTAATGCGTTAATGGCGTTGCCTCGAGGATTTCTGCAAGACTTTGGGTATATCGTGTCGGGTACAGCAAGGGCTCGTTTGGAAGCAGGCTATGCAAAAACTGCCTTATCTCTTTTGTCTGCATTAGAAGGAGAAGCTAGAAGTCAATTGGGGGGAGGATCTGATCCCAATTTATATAGACTTTGCCGGCAATTGTCTTGGGAAGTTTTATTGCTACAAGTTAATGTCATGTTAAGCGAATGGCCCCACCATCACATCAATCTAACTGTCCTGGCAAATAAATGTAAAGCATGCATCGCAGTAGCTACTTCAGGTGACAACATTGTACCGCGACCTCAAGTGAGTAAATAGTTTTTATAATTGATAATTTCGTCTTTAAAAATAGTTCAGAACAAAACAAATACAACAACCTATAAACGTACTCTTCCTTCGAAAGATAAATTATTTCTTAAACAATTTTTAATATTTTTTTAATATTTATAAACATACTTAACCTTAGTATTATTTTGATACAAATTTGCTGTAAATCAATTGGTTATTATCACAGATATTTTTTATCTAAATAATATCCCGTGATGGGATTTTATGGGTCATTATAATTTTATGTTAAATATTAAAATTTCCTAACCTACAAACGAAACAACATGAAAATATTTAATTGAGAAAAAGACAACAATTATAGTAACCTATACTTACTCTGAACGACCTTATATACATATTATGTATGCTACACATGAAAGAGCAACAAAAATCCATCCATCCTCACAGACTGTTTCATTTATTTATTTATTAAGGCAAACACAACAGGTCACAATTACATAAAGAATATTTCTTAAACATTAATAGTATCCAACAGATTATAACCCTAAGGATGCATGCACGACATGACGGGATTGCCAATTATTACAGTTAACAAATTCCAATACAGGAGATAACTATGTATTAGTACTAAACAATAACAACAGTAGGTATATCAAGACCATAATAAAATTAAATTACATGGACTAAACAAAAAAAAAGACAAAAATAAAATATTAAAAGTGATATTCAATGAAGTTACACGAATTAAATTTACAAGAAGAAAATAAATAAATGGTATAATAAACAATATTATTACATAATAACTATGTATTTTCCAGGTGTTGGAGGCTTGTTGGACGTGCCTGTTGAACGCGTGCGAGTGGGAGGTGGCGGGTGTGAGCGGAGGTGCGGGGGAGACGTCCGCAGCGCTCTGTGCGGCGTGCTTTGAGTTACAGAGGGGGAAGGGGGCGAGGAAGTTCCCCCGAGCACTGTGGGACTATGGTAATATTTATACTGAGAAGTTCATATAAAAAATAGAATAGTACTTTATCTTATATCAGATATCTTATAAGTTATACTTCAGCGATATTCCGGGATTGCAAGTTCAAATTCTGCTCTTTTCGATTAATCTTTCATTATATATGTTCGAATAGTATTTCAATTATTGAATTAATTAGAATGTTGGCTTACGTTACTTTCATTTTATAACATAATAATATGATTTTATATAGAACTCTTATTGTACCTTCTAAACTATATTTTATTAGTGCAAAATAAGAAGAACAGGTACTTAAAACATAGTCCGCAAAACGCTCAATTGTATGCCCAATCAGCGCTCCTTGACATCAAATACTTAATTTATTGAAACAAAATACCACATGTGTTATATTTTGTGATGATGAATTAATACGTTTTCTTTATAATCCACAGCGTTATCAGTATACAGTAACGGTTCGAACGTACCAGTCAAGCGTACCGCTGGTGGGATGCCGGCTCATTCACGCGACGCTCCGAATGCGGCGGCCGAAGCCAGGAACGCCTTCAACACATTCCTCACAACACTCAGAGAACCCCTCGCAATCAGCGTCATGATGTCCCTACTAGCGAGGATACATAACCTCATTATAAACGATAGTTCATTGGAACTGAACGTGGAATACACGAACCTCTGGCCGCCGAACATCTCCAATATAAACAATTATAACTTGAAACATGTCTTGGAATCCCTAACTGAACTCCTCGAACGAAGTTTGAGGCTGTACCCTTACAATACGTCATGGTTAGTACTGAGCTTTCATTTTTTTTTTAATACTCAGTTCCAGTCAGCGAAGCCATTTTTACAACGAAATACTGTAAATAAATAAATTTTAAATATCTTTGTAATTACAGAACACATGGACACGAAATGATGAACATAATTATTCTCATCACTCATCAGATAACCGATTTCGCAAAGAAATTTCTAAATAAAATTTTAACCATACTATAATTTAATAACTATCATTTAATTTTTAAGGCTACGTCTCTACGGTGATGTGGAAATGGCGGGTGGTAGATGGGCGGCGGCGTTGCGTCGTTATTTATGTTCGTTAGCGGCGAACACGTGGCACTTCACTAAGCGCGCACCAGACGAGGGCAGCATAGCGCGGCGCGCGGCACGCTGCTGCCAGGCGTTGTGCGCGCCCACTCAGGCCGCGGCCTTATGTCAGCTGCCCGATGAACCGGATTACACTATCGCCTTCAAGTGTCTCGCAGAAAAGGTTATATCCCAAACAATGCAAGCTTCTTAAATTATTATAATAATATTATATACAGTCAATCTGGGTAACTTTGACAGATAAGGGTGATATTTTATACTATATTTAAAAAAATTAAACCTATCACTCGGGTGTTTTTATTTTATCAGTGCTCTCGTATTACTTTCCGTCTCTAGACATCCACAGAAAGTTTATAAAACATACCAATATAGTATAAAATCTAAATTTTGTGTGTGTCAAAGTTACCCCCTAAGATGGGTAACTTTGACACATACAGAGCCAAGCATAAAAATGTAGTAATAAGTATTATTTTTATCAATCTGGGTAACATTCTGGTATATATTTATTAACTAATGGATGCATGTGACACAATAAAACGAACATTTTGCAATTATGTCTTATATTAAAAAAAAATATGAAGAATCAGTCTACAACATTTGGCAATGTTACACACATTGTTTAACATCATCAAAAACGCTTAAAAAATCCTTTAATTTAACAGTTTTATTCAAATTATAAAGAAAACAAGCAAAAATAATTTTAACAAACAAACATTTTGTAAAATCTTGAGCATAACTTGTCTATTCTCCCCACTCCATATAGAGCAAATCGTCAATAATACTTGTGTAGAGCCCAGGCTGCTTTATACTGATTTTACTGTTATCTACTGGAGATACAACATCATCTTATCTAATTTTAATAATTTCTCTTTTATCTGACCATTTCCAACCACCTTGTGTTGATCTACTCATGACAACAAATGTATAATACGGAAATGTGTAACTTGTCACTTTTCCTGGAAACAGTGTGCCTTCTGTTTTAAATATAACTGTTGTTCTAGGTGAGAACTCAATATATTTTGATGTGCATGTTGCAAAACTCCATCTTTAACAACAAATTCTTCAATCACCTCTTCTACCACCTCTTCCGCCACCATTTTAGTTTCTATGTAAGGGTAACTTTGACACTGTCAAAGTTACCCAGTTACTGTTCAAAATACGTATTTTCATATTTATGCATGAAATTTCAAAATAAAATTTAATTATGTGCTATTTTTTCATGAAAATGCGGTAGTACACTCACAAATGGCTCTGTATAACATCTCACTTACCTTATCAACAACCAAAATCACAAAATATTCAAAAAGTTATTCACCCTAAAGTAAACTTAATTTCGCGCGATATATTCAGAAACGAAGTTATGACGTTTTTTTACTTTCACAACTTACTTTTTTTTAAAGTGCATTTAGGAAGCTTATTTAAAATCGCAAATCTAAAATAAACATATATGAATAATGTTGGTTTCATGCGAAAAAATAATCGAAACTAGTTCATGGTCCCACTGTCAAAGTTACCCGATGAATCAAAGTTACCCAGATTGACTGTAATAATAAGCGTTTTTATAAGAAAACCAGATTGTTTTATAAATGTTTAATAAAATACGCTATAAACATATACAAATGCCCGTATAGACTATTTTTTATCAAGTGAGAGAAATATAACGTTCACATACTAAGCGTCACGTAATTTAAACGTGAATAATAAGTAATAATAAATATTTTGATGTATGAGTCATATTATTGGTAGTTTTCATAAAATCCGTTCGGTATTGTTTGAAGTAAGTTTTTATATATGTACATTGTTAAGGCGTAGAGTGAATGACCTTCTTTTAGTCACTTCATACCAAATCACTACAATTTAATTCAGACTTTAGCGTCTTTTCTGGCAACAATCTCACTTGTAAGTGAAGAAATATTACCTTCGATATATATATAATTATTAAAAATCGTTTCAATTTATATGACAAAATTAAGATAGCTATATATTATATGTACTATATATTGTATGTAGACTATATTTTAATATATAAACGTTATTTCCAGACTGGTAACGCAGCGGACGCTATGGACGGTTATTATGGTTGTCTATGGGACGGGACTCTGTTGGAGGTTGGCGTGGCGCTCCACGCTCGTAGGGGCGAGGGAGGCAGGCGAGCTCGGGCTGTGAAGGCGGCCGGAGCCCTAGAACTGAACGCAAATAATAGCGAAGACATACAAAGAGAGGCCGCCGCCATACGAAGAGCTAGATTACTAAGAGCACTCACCAACCAATATGTAGTGTGATTGAATAATATTGATCCATTAATTACGATGAGATTTGTATAATCCACTCGAATGTATTATTTGAAATATATTTAATAACACTCTGATTCTGTTATCATTGTTGTAGACTACATTTTCATTATGTTATAGATAAATTCAGAGTTGAGTTTATTTTCTACCAAATTGTTTGGTCTAACTCCATGGGAAGGAATAATTTCTTTCCTTCAATTAAAATAACAGATTTGCTGGGAAAAGGAAGTGTAATAAATAAAAACATTGACATATAAAAACGGTGTTTACTATTAAAAATCTATAAGCTTACCCAAACAACAAACAGCATCAAATGAAAATAACATTTTATATAATCATAGTGTTTAAAAAAGACTGACAAAAAGAGAAAAATACTGATGTTTTGTAGCAAAGTCTTAGGATAAGTAAAAGGGGTAATTCTTATTTTTCATAGCTTCCTAGGTAGGCCTGGCAGTTGGGACAGTAATGATCTGTATTCTTGGCAGAATTGCAGCAGTATGGAGTACAACAGCAACTGAAACAGTTAACAAAATATTTTATATAAGCTTTATTACATTTATAATTAAAATGAAACTTCTCATGCAACCTCCAACGAGTTTGTACAAGGTGGTGTTAAACATTCAACGCTCTTGGGGAGGGGAAAAGAAAGAGACGGAGCGAAAATAAATGGGTGGGTGAATTGTAAGCAATGTTTATAAAGTTTGTTTTAAAGAAACGATATGAGTTCTCTTAAAATTGATTTCTGACCTTTCCTGTTTTATTATATTACGAACTTTCGCTTCTTCCTTCTTCGCTTTTTTTATATATTTTATTTTTAACCATCAATAATTTTTCACGTAAGAATTTATGAGACGGCAGAATTCCTTGCGCGCGATGGGATGTTCCCTCTCAAGTACCTACACTTAAAATGAACCCATTATTTTTGTTACTCTTACGCGTTTTTGTTATTGATAAGCATAAAGTGACCACTTTTTGTTAGACTGGGGGTACATGCGCAAACCTATCCCAACAATGCCAGAACCATACCATAGTTATAGAATATAAATTATACGCTTGTAACTGTTTTCAATTACGAAATATTTAGAAATACAGTGAACAAACTTAAAATAATGTAATAATGCCATTATAATAATCTAATGAGAATTAAAGGATGTATAGAAACTTCTGATAAATTGTATAACTTTACTAAAACATTAGGGTGTTTAAATCGGAATAAGTGTTCATTTTCTTTCATATATGCACACGCATGAATATATTATATAAATGAAACTATAAAGTATGTAGTTTTTTACAAAACTAATGCAGGCGTAGTACATATATCTGAAAAATATTACTTTCATTTAAATGATTACTCGTGAAAGTCTTAGACCTCATTACGTATATTATACAGGGTGACTGGTGAATTACTATCAATATTTAAGGAGAATACTCGGTACATGATTGTCATTCCAATTATGTAAAAAAAATAGGTACTTAATTTTTGACAAAATTTCCCTATAAATAAATAAAGTGTTGACACGTTCCAAGTGTTCAAGTGTGGACGCGTGCGGCGGCGTGCTGATACAACACCACGTCACGACACGCGTATGTGTGAGTGTCAGTGTATACCTAATGTGTAGGGTGTTCATACGATGTGTAATTAATTACACAACTTTTGGTTAACTTTACTTAGAAGTTTATTAATATTTATGTTATATTAATTTTTATTTTGTCATATATGATCGTCAAATATCACGTCCTCAAATATCGATAGTAATTCACCAGTCACCCTGTATAGTATATAAGCGAAACTATATATCAGAATACAACAGCAAATCCACGGAATTGAACATATCAAGCAATAAATAAAGCTTATACCTTACCATACTAAGCAACACAACGCGGCTGTCATATGAGTGCGGCTTGTAACACGGTGCTTGATGTTCGTCATCACCAATGACTTACAGAAACAGCACCTCGCGAGCGATGGCACCGGACCCAGTACCTAAAACAAACGACAAATACATGTATATACATAATATTAAACATAAGGAAACAAAACGTATCATATTTCTATGAAATACAATGAAAACTATTCGTATATTGACTACAATACAATAAGCTCAATATGCCTCATTAATAAGAAGCAACTTTGTATTATTTGTTTATATTAAAACTTACGCATGACTATTGAAAACAATATGCATTCTATGGCCGCTTTGTTTATTATGATAACGCTTTAAATTTATGGTTATTTCTTATGAACTTATTCGTAGAAATTGAGTTGACATTGTATCAGGGTATAAAGTATTTAAACACTTGTTGTTATATATAAGGCGATGAATACAGCGTGTGCCAACAGATTATCAAAGTATATTGTAATTTCTAAATACAGTGCAATCTCAATGTAACAAATCGGAGGGGACCAAGAAAATATTCATTTTATTAAGTAATTCGTTGATCTGAGGTTTGTTATGTAGAGGTTAGGTTGATCTAAAATTTGTTATAAAGAGTCAAAAATATAGTTTTTTAACTTAAATCTTTAACAATAGTGAGGAGCAGAAGTGCTTTACTTTATATAAAACAACGATTGTTTTATGAACAAGCGTGTCGACACTTGTCGGGATATGTATCACATATTATAAAATTAAGGGATATATTGGTGGGAGCTTTATATAAAGATAAGTTTTTTTTTATTGTTTAAAATTCGTTATAAAAGGACTGTTCGCAATGTAAAGGTGTTTTTTATATTGACTCTTATCGACAATTCAAGAGCAAAACGAGAAATTTGTTAAGGAAGGAAGGAAGTCGTTATATCGAGCACGTTATATTGAGAACGTTATATTGAGATTGTGCAGTGCGCTGTATATTTTAATTCAGAGACAATGCAAGCGAGATTTATGGTAGTGATGACACTTGAATTATATTTTCAACGTTATGGTATACATATAATATCGACCTATACGTAGTAATCGACAACGCGATCTTTAAAACTTCTTCCACGTGTTCATTGTTTACGTAAAGTTAAAAACAAAATTTACGAAAATATACTCTTAATCTATAACCTGTGTAATACAAAACGAATGATATTCAAAAGATAAATTTGAATAATATCATACAAATGATTAGTTTTACTATCCTTATTTTATTTCGAAGTGATGCCTGATTTTCTTGTAAGATTTATTAGTCGCAGAAATTGAGTAATGTGCATTGAGAATACTTACTAAAGGAATATTACCGCTAGGCTGTTCCATGATTGGAAGTTCCTAAAATAAAAAAAATTATATAGGTATTACATTTTTCGAAAAAGTATGCCACAATGCTGTAAGACCACGGAGAAATTCACATCTCACATATAGTGAGACAACATATTTTTTTTTTTGTGAAAATTATAAGTTAATATGTAATTATCAATAAGAAATAAGTTCCTACCGTAACATTATTTAACGTCGTTTCTTCCAAAATAGGCTTATCGTCCATGTTTGCACTCTGCAAAAAGAATAAATTAGAAATATATACAATAAGTGCTGTTCTTGACTTCTTAAGACACATGAAAAAATAACCGAATAAAATAATAATTACAAACAACATCAAAAGCGGACTAAAACATTTTTTTAATTTAATTGCAACTTGTTTATAAAGTTAAATACCTAATTAATTTCTTTATCGCACTGCACACTAAATAGGTAAGACGCGTTTCAAAATCGCCACCAGCACCCAAATGAGACTTCTAAGTTTTATGTTTGAGCGACGCGCGTTCCTTTCAAAACACATTTAGGGTTATCAGAATAAAAAAAATAAAAGGTTATAAAAAAATAAAATAAATATTATTTCTGCACTATTCATGTTATAAAATAGAAACATAATAATTAATGTGCATAAAGTAATAAAAACTTTTTTTAGGATACTTTTAAAATATACAGAATTTATATTCACTAAATGCAAACGGCCGCACTCTGAAAAGCACGGTCTATTTCAGGTACAAAATCTAGGATACCTTTGTTTTTTTTTAGGAGAGATACTTACAATTTTATTAATCAAAAAAGTATTAAACAAATATTCATTAGTTAAATTAATACTACAAAAATTATGTATAGCTATTAACATAAAGCATATCCTTATACTCTTGTTTAATTATATTTGATTAAATACGAATTCGTTCATTTTAAATATAATGGTCACTTCAGTTGACTTTTTGTTGAATAGATCTATAATATGTAGAGAGAAATATGAAATAAATTCAAGTTCATTCCACGAGAGCATTTCTTGTCATTACTTAAATGTTTAGCCGCTTTATTTTTTGTAAGTCTTAAGACGTGATCGTTATCCATGTTCAAAAAGTTCATCAAAATGCTTTGTGTCAATAAATGTGGATCCAAATTGTATTTACTAAAGGTGGTATGTTTCCTTAGTGATAATTATTAATCACACCTGTTTACACAGATTCTTTGAGTCAAATTAATTGTTTACAATGCAGCATACATTGCAAAAAAAATTCTAAGTTAATTACATCACTTGTATTACTGCTTACTTGTCATCTTTTGTTAATAACCATTCCTATTACTCAAAAAAAAAACTTATTAAACTTTTATTCTTCAATATAATTTCCCTATAACAAATCTGGACACGATATGAGGTAAGTCATTATTAATATGACTCTTTATGCAAATTTTTCATAAATAAATTTTAAAATATTGAAGCAGACAGACAAGTTTATTTTGTTTTATATATATAAATTCAATCAAAACTACTACACTGTATTGACGTTCCACTCATTTGCTACTTATTAAACAATTATTTAATACCGACGTTTTATAGATGGGCAACACTTCTCTCAAGTAAGGGGTTTCCCGAATGTGATTTAAACTTTAAATTTTCTTTCTTTTCGAACTTTTCTGTTTTGAACTAACTCAGTTTAGTCAGCGTTGTATGACGATATTGCATCGTTGCGACAGGGTTACATTAAAATTTGCCTCTTAAGGTTTTAAGGGCTAATAGGCTTATTAATCGGC